ATTCCATAAATCCTCCATTCACAATATAACATAATATTTTCTAAGAAAATCCTTGGCTTAAAAATACATGAATTGTATTATTTAAGGTCTGGAATTTTCTCAGTCATTACATTTCTAATGCTGTCGTTGTCCCATGCTATTGTCGTTTTTCTCTATTGTTGTCATTCTTTGCCAAAAGGTCGGCCTTCACGTTTGGATCTACGCTCATATACAAGCAATATCTCTGTTCACATGACCAAAAGACTCCTAATAGAAACAAGGGCAACATTCGAAGCCAGTTCTATAACCTCATCTTCAAGCCTACAATATATATATATATATATATATTTCAATACACCTTCAGTAAAATTCAATAAATCCAATTTATTCTTTCCATCATAGGTCCCATTCATTTCACTCAGTTTAGAATTCGAGTTTAAGTTTAGAATTTGAGTTTTGCTACAATAAGAAGCTCTCAAAAACAGTTACATATAACTTTTTGCTACAGTAAAAACTCTTACATAAAATCACATCTCAATTTGAATTAAAAATTTGAATCAGCGAACTAAACGGTCCTAAATTCAAAAGTTGTTGAATCATGAAAATCATAATGGGCAATACTAACGGTTATTCAAGGCTTTTGCAGCTCTTCTCATTGTGTTTAACCTTATGTTCTTCACTAGTGTCTCCTCTAATAAGGTTCCACACCCTCCAAATGGTACTATTCCTTCACCCGCCATTGCACCTAAGAAGCAAGGCAAGAGCCCTAAAGACACCCTCGAGTTTGGTGTTTGTGGAATCTGGCTCGGGTTGGTTATTGGGGCTAAACCCGAGCAAGATATGTTGTTCCCTCATAAAGGGTCTTGCAGATCTTGAAGCTGCATTGTGTTTATGCATTGCCATTAAGGCCAATGTACTTGGAGTTGTCAAGCTCAATGTGTCCATTGCTTTAAGTTTGCTAGTTAACTCCTGTGGGAAGAGGGTTCCATATCACTAAACTCGGTTTCCCTAGTTTAGGAAGATGCTTCCATTATCAAACGTGAAATCTTTACATAAACTCATCAACAGTCCAATATATATATATGTGTGTGTGTGTGTGTGTTAGGGGGGTGACTTGAACCACAAATTTAATCAGAACCTCACTTTGAGGTCTTTCAGAAAGGCACCCTTGAAGCTTTCATGACGTTGTTTAATATTGCTGCTAATTAAGCCTGGTTTAGGTCATTGGTATAAGGTATACCAATATGACAATATCCTAATTTTACGCTCATGACCTTTTTGCTCACCAGACTCTACAGTTTAAACTGAAATAGTTTTAAGTTTACTAGGAAAATTCTGGTAGCAATATTAGAACAATCATTGTTATGATCATGCTAGTTACTCTATGCTTAGAGCTCTACAATGTCAACTTATTAAAAAACTATTGTGTGCACCAAAGAATACGCATATTAACTTCCACAACCTCCTTTGAAGAAGTGGAAAAAACTATGCGCTTTGGTAACTAAATCCAAAGCAAGTATGTATGTAGAAACATTACCTGTGCAAATAAATATTGTTGGTAACACATAGAAGGATGAATTGTTCCAACAAAAAACGGTTTCACAAAATCTATCTCTCATTCATTAAATTGATGTAACATTGATTGCACAAGGCGAGAGACAACAATTGCAAATTGAGACTTCATGTTAGTCCCAACTAGGTATGCTCTGAACCTTTGATTGGACGTAAAAGTTTTATTCGAAGAATTCCTCTCAAATAAACTGTTGTATTAAATTTCAATGAAGGTTTCAAACTATAATTTCAGTGTCAAAGAATAACAAAAGAAAGAAAAACTATAATTCTAGAGGTCAGAAACTCTCTCTCTCTCCCCACACATTCCTTGTAGATCATTCAATAGTATAGTCTTAGTTCTTATTATATTTCATCTTAGTCTGTCCACTCCCTTGCCCTTGTTAAAGATATCTAATGAAACTTTGACTTTTTGAATCTGTACGGGTGAACCCTTTTTAATGAACAAAAAGAAAATTGGGAAAAATGCATAGGAAAACCTTTCATAAATGATATTGGGCCACTTGGAAACATCAAATTAATTAGACAAAGATACAGTCAAAAGACAGCAAAAGAAGAATATCTGAAATCATTGATATTATTATCAGATTATAACTGTGGCAAAGAAGAAAGTCTCTAATTTGAATTCTACTGTTGACCTATCATTAGAACATGTGCAGCCCATTATCATTCTTTGAAAAGAAAAAAAAAAGACTGAAGAAGTTGGCCCAAAGGCAGAGAAAGATTGCCCAAAAGGACTGAAGAAGTCGTAGCAAATAGCGAATATACTTTACATTTTACACCAACCCTCTATCAGAACATGATGTCCAACTGCAGGATGTTTGGCCAATTGAAGAATTTGTAGCCAGCCCAAAAGGTTGAGGTAGATTGTCCAATGGAGATGATAATACCAATGTGTGTGGACTTGGGTGAGCTTGATGCAAATAATGATGAAGATGGATTATATTACACAGTTGAAATCCACCCGAAATTCATAATTAATATAGAAACTGTGAAAGCTCAATCAAGAATTCTAATTCTAAACAATAAAAACTAACTGAGAAAGAGAATCAAAACTCACCAAATTCCAGAATAAATACAAATGTATGTGGAGGATCCAATTCCAATCCCTGGTGAGCTTCATGCAAATTGAGATGGAGATGTACTTAATACGAATTAGGATCCCGCGGGATTATCCCAAAACCACATGAAGAAAAAATGTGCCATTGTCCATAAAACGGAAGTACCCTATGGGCCTCTGCTTCAAGAAAACAAAAAATTAACAAAGAAAAAAAAAGAAAAGGAAAAGAAAAGAAGATGAGAGAAAGAGAGAGACGAATGTAAAATATAAGTTAACAGTCAAAAAGATTCTAAGAAAAGAAAAGAAAGTGAAAACGCTGCAGAAATGTGTTGGAGATCACGGTCCCAGCGGATTGGGGCTTAATGTGTGGGCTTGATATGAATGTCGGACCGGAAAACCCAATCCGTGCGAGCTTACTTATGCAATTTTTATTTTTGATTCGGCCAAGAGCTTCCAGCCGTTTGGCCTGAGATTAATACTTGATAAATGAGCATAATGGTGTGTAATGGGGCTTAATGGTGACCAGTGAAGGTAAACCAAAATTTGCCATGGTTAATAAGCTTAATGCCATCAGTTTTCATCATCAACGTCCGAACCTATATACAAAGTGTGGCCGGATTCATCATGGGAAAAATCAAACATTTTTGTTTCATTACAATGCAGATTAATATGTGTTTTAAAACACCATAATGTACATGGTCGAATTTGGAGCCTATATAAAGGTCCTACTCCACATGAACAAGGGCACTCACTTGTACAAAGCACTCTCCTCTCCCTCTCAAGTTCTTCCTTTTCTTTTCGAGTTTGTCTTGTGTTATTTTTGTAGTTTTTTTTTTGGTGATAGAGGAAAGGTCCGAGTTCTAGTTCGCCGAACGGTTCCGATAGTGCTTTGAGCTACCATCGTTGTTATTGTATCCTGGGAGACGGACATCCAACGTTGCCTCAAGCACTCGCTAGCGGGGACGAATCTGTTTTAAAGAAAGCATGGTTCATGTGCCTCGACATCCTTCAAATTTCGTTCTCCGAGTTTAGTAGAAAGGTTGAATTAGTGTTGTACAATATCGTTATTTTGATCTCGTAAAAGTTGTTGTTCTTCTTTGTCTTTTCTATACTTTTGCTAACAAAATTTACCGAAGAAATTTGTTACTCCGTCCACGTCACTGCCCATTTGGACGTCTTCCTGAGTTTCTTGAGCATCGAACGGTCCCGGTGGGTTGGGGGCCTAATGTGTGCGCCTATGGACACGAATGCCGGCACAAAAAATCCGCTCCGTGCGAGCTTACTTTAGTAATTTTTATTTTTGATTTGGCCAAGAGCTTCTAGCCGTTTGGCCTGAGATTAATGCTTGGGAAATGAGCATAATGGTGTGTAATGGGGCTTAATGGTGACCATTGAAGGTAAACCAAAATTTGTCTCAATGCCATCAGTTTTCATCATTAATGTCCGAACCTATATACAAAGTGTGGCCGAATTCATCATGGGAAAAATCAAACATTTTTGTTCCTTTATAATGCAGATTAATGTGTGTTTTAAAACACCATAATACCATGGTCAAATTTGGAGCCTATATAAAGGTCATACTCCACATGAACAAGGGCACTCACTTGCACAAAGCACTCTCCTCTCTCTCTCTCAAGTTCTTCCTTTTTCTTTTAGAGTTTGTCTTGTGTTATTTTTGTAGTTCCATTTTTGTGATAGAGGGAAGGTCCGAGTTCTAGTTCGCCGGACGGTTCTGATAGTGCTTCGAGCTACCGTCGTTGTATCCTGGGAGACGGACATCCAATGTTGCCTCAAGCACACACCGGAGGGGACGAATCTCTTTTAAGGAAAGTGTGGATCACGTGCCTCGACATCCTTCAAATTTCGTTCTCCGTGTTTGGTAGAAAGGTTGAATTACTCTTGTACAATAATGTTATTTTGATCTTGCAAAAGTTGTTGTTCTTCGTTGAATTTTCTATACTTTTGCTAACAAAATGTACCCAAAAAATTTGTTACTTCGTCCTTGTCACTGCCCATTTGGACGTCTACCTGAGTTTCTTGAGCATCGTAAGACCAGTCCATGTCGGTGCATGCCATCTATTCTTCTTCTTCTTCTTGAAAGTAATAAAAAAAATTAAGCACACTAATTATCAAATAACAATAAACAACAATATATATATATATATTATTTATAGAGAATCAATAAAGAAAGGAACAAGAAAAGACCTTTTTTGTCGTCTTATGTATCTTCATTAGAGTCCATATCAGAGGTTTCCACGTAGGAAACGTAGTCACACTCCATATAGCTCCATGAATAATCTTCTTCACCGACAAGAAATTCATCGCACATTTCCACATCAGAGCCATCAGAATCACCACTAACATCTTTCTTGTCATCGGGGTGCACATATGAGGTTTGAGCATAATTAACGTCTATGTCCATGTCCATATCCATATGGCTCCAACAATATTCTTGATCACCAAAAATGAATTCACACATGATTTGCCACTTCAAAACAATGTCCACAATCTACTGTCGTTGTCGTTGTATCCTGGGAGACGGACATCTAACGTTGCATCAAGCACTCGCCGGAGGGGACAAATCAGTTTTAAGGAAAGCATGGTTCCTGTGCCTTGACATCCTTCAAATTTCGTTCTCCGAGTTTAGTAGAAAGGTTGAATTAGTGTTGTACAATATCGTTATGTTGATCTTGCAAAAGTTGTTATTCTTCTTTGTATTTTCTATACTTTTACTAACAAATTGTACCGAAGAAATTTGTTACTTCATCCTCGTCACTGCCCATTTGGACGTCCTCTTGAGTTTCCTGAGCATCGTAAGACTAGTCCATGTCGGTGCATGCCATCTCTTCTTCTCCTTCTTGAAAGTAATAAAAAAAATTAAGCCCACTAATTATCAAATAACAATAAACAACAATATATATATATTATTAATAGAGAATTAATAAAGAAAGGAAACAAGAAAAGACTTTTTTTTGTCGTTTTATGTATCTTCATTAGCATCCATATCAGAGTTTCCACGTAGGAAACGTAGTCACACTCCGTATAGCTCCATGGATAATCTTTTTCACCGACAAGAAATTCATCGCACATTTTCACGTCAGAGCCACCAGAATCACCATTAACATCTTTCTTGTCATCGGTTTGCACATATGAGGTTTGCGCATAATTAACATCCATGTCCATGTCCATATCCATATGGCTCCAAGAATATTCTTTATCACCCAAAATGAATTCACTCATGATGTGCCACTTCAAAACAACGTCCACAATTGACTGTCGTTGTCATTGTATCCTGGGAGACGGACTTCCAACGTTGCCTCAAGCACTCACCAGAGGGGACGAATCTATTTTAAGGAAAACGTGGTTCA